ACAAGCCTAGCAGCATGATTTTGAAAACGTTGTAACTTGTGAAGAGAGGTATTTGGTAAGTTAGCTAGTAAAGCATTGCAATAATCGGATATTGAAAATACATCAATCCTCTTGAAAACAAAGAAAATTGTCACATTCATACAGAGCAAGTTGCACTGCTGCCTGCTAGGCGCTGATCACAACTTGGCAAAAATTCTGATGATGTTTTTGGTAAGTCATACCCACATTTCATTTATAGCCTGTTGCGTAACGTTAAATTAGTGTGTTGAATGTTGGTAGGATTTTTGTATCAGGTGGTAGGATTTTTTAAGGTAGGATATTGCTGGACACCCTGTGTGCGTTACGAACTCTTACTTCCAGACGAAACCTCAGCACTAAATCTCCAGGAGACACTCCCGCTCCAAACTCTGGCACCAGCTCGACCTGGTCATCACCAGACGCCGTCACCTCAGGAATGTGCTCTTCACACATTTTTACCAGAGCGCAGATTCCGACACTGACCACTCCCTGGTCTACTGCAAGATCAGACTTCAGCCAAAAAAGATGTATCACTGTAAGCCTCCAGGAAAAGTGCTCATCGATGCCAGCAAAACTCTACACTCAGATAGAGCTGAAGTGTACATAAACAGTCTGAAGGACACCTTCCTTGCCCATCCCCCAGAGGGCGATGCCCAACAGAGATGGAATCACCCTAGAGACACTCTCCATGGCGCTGCCCTGTCAGCCGTTGGGAAGAAACAAGGCAAGACACACGACTGGTTTGAAGCCAACTGAGGCGAGCTGAATGCTGTCATCGAGAAAATGCGTGTGGCACTTCTGAAACACAAACGCAGCCTCTCTCATTCAACACTGTAAGCTTTGAGAACAGCCAGAAGCACCATCCAGAAAACAGCCAGACGATGTGTGAATAACTACTGGCTAAAGTTGTCTGAGAGCATCCAGACTGCAGCCGATGCAGGCAATATCCATGGTGTCTACGATGGAATTAAAAAAGCTGTCAGCCCAACACAGAGCAAAACAGGGCCGCTAAAATCTGCATCAGGTGAAAGAATCACAGACAAAGGAAAGCAGATGGAGAGATGGGTGGAACACTACTCAGAGCTGTACTCCAGGGAAAACAGCATCTCTAATTCTGTGCTAGAAACTCTCGAGAATCTCTCATTTGGCTGCAGAATGGGCAAATAAACAACTCCCCATCATAAACGTCAATGACTTTTTTGTTGACATCTATTTTTATGTAGACAAAAGTGCTAACCGGAAAAAGACATTGAAGGACTTTCAACAAGAATGTGAAACACCTGTAACCGAAGTGCAAAATCACTGCCCCACTAGATGGCTCTCCCTTGGAGCAACATGCAAGTGGGTTATAGCACAATGGGAGCCTTTGCTGCTGTTCTTCAAAGCTGAATATAGAGAGGATAAGGAGGAAGCAGGATCAATTGGAGCTAGAGAAGATGGGGGCAGCAGAAAGTAAAATGTAAAAAAAAACCTTAAAATCAAGGACAATGAAGATGTGTGTCCTCTACCTGGCATATGTCATTCCAGTTTTTGACAGAGCAAATCAGCTCTTCCAACAAGAGGCCCCTCTCATTCACAGACAACACAGACTCTTATCAGGACTTATTAAAGACCTCATGCTAATGTTTGTCAAGCCATGTGGGCTGAGGGGAAAGCTTGTCTCCGATGTTGATTATTCATCAGCTTACAACATTGAGGATGTAAACAACCTTATGATTGGTTCTACTTCTAGTCTCAGGGACTTTCCATACTCCACAGCAATGCTAGCAGTGAAAGAATTTTCAGTCTTGTTAGAGTGAACAGGACAGACTTTCGCAGTTCTACGTCTGTTGATACCCTGCAAAGTCTTCTCATCTTGAAACAAAATACACAAGAGTGTTTTATGAGAGATCCCTCAGCAAGTGTACAGAAAGCATGCAAGTCTGCAACAGCCGTGGCAGTAGCAAATTAATGACTAGAAAGTAAGTCCACCATTATTATTATTCCCCCCCCCCCCCCCCTCCATTTTTGCTCAGTTCTAGAATCTGCTCTCCTTACTTTACTTTTACTTTTATCCGCCGCTTATACCCTTTTGGGTGTTGCGGGAAGAAAGAGACGTCTCTCTGAGGCCACCCGCAGAGCTTGGGTCAGGGGGATGCCGTGGGTGGTTAATGTTTCCCTGACTCCATCTATTCAGGTCTTTCTCAGTCGCCCTCTAGCCTTGTTGCCATTGAATTTTTGGATGTAGGCACATTGTGTTGGATGGTGTTTTGGTAATCGTAGGAGATGTCCGAACCATTTGATTCTTTGGTGTTGGATGTGATGCATGACATCATTTGTGCCCAACCCTTTCTCGGATTACCGTACTGAGTTTCTAATTTTGTCTCGCCTGGTCTTTTTTACTGCTTTTCTAAGGCATCGCATTTCACATGTTGTAATTCTTTGCTCTAATAATGTCTTGTTTGTGGTCCATGTTTGGCATTGATAAGTGAGCGTTAGGATGAATATGGTGTTGATCATTTTGAGTTTTGTTGTCGTGGGGATGTTAAGATGTCTCAGTAGTGAAGTAAGCTGGTAACTAACATTATTGGCCTTTTGTACTCGGGTTTCAATTTCTCTGTTCAGTCGCTCATCCTATGTGAATATACTTCCGATGTACTTAAATTTTTTGACCTGTCTGAGACTGCTGTTTTTGATGTGTATCCTGAAAGGTTCTGGCTTTCTGCTTACTTTCATTGTCTCTGTTTTGTTGATGTTGATCTTCATGTTGTAGTTGTTACATTCTTTGTTTAATCTGGTGGTGTGGTGTTGGAGACTTCGTTCATCTTTGTGTGCTAGTGCTAGGCTTTGGTCATCAGTGAAGAGTAATTCATTAAGGGCGTCTGGTTCTGTGTTGGCCTCTTTTGTAATTCTATCCATATATATGATAAATAGTAGTGGTGATAGGACACAACCTTGTCTTACTCCGGATGTTATCTCGAACCACTCTGTGAGTCCCTCTTCAGCTGGCTGAATTTAAAAAAAAAACAAAT